CTCTGGCAACTGGTTAACAATATTTCTAATTCGCGCGCGCGGAGCGGCCCCTGGGGGCCCCCGGACGAAAAGTACCCCGGCAAGGACCCGGGAGAAGCCACCAGAGCACTCCAGGGGAGGGCCATTTTTCGACACCCCTCACGAGGATCGTGGCCTCCGAGGGGGGAGCCGCAATCGACTAGCCCCCCTCCCGCCCCAAGAGGCCCCCAAGAGCCCCCCAAGAGGCCCTGGGGGCCTCCAAGACGCCGCCAAGGTCTTGGCCCTGTAAGCGCCTCCGTGCCCCAGGAGGGCAAGATGAACAGCACTGGAGGAACCTAAGGAACATCGAGCCCCTTCCGAACCCAAACTGTTCCTTATTCCAGCGTCTTGACTGTAACCCCCAGACTTGAGCACGACCGATCGCAGCCACTTTGGATCGACCGACGACCAATTCGGACCGATCGCAACCGGTTGCGATCGGGCTGAAGTGGTTGCGACGTCGTGGGGGCGCTTCAAGAAGGTTCCGATTCAGGGAACCAAAAACAGCCAAGATCTGCTCCGTGGAGGGGGGGGAGGAGGGGGGGGCGAGTGCCCGCGTCGATAGGCAAAACAGTGAATCAGAAAACTATCACCAGGGGGGTAGAGGGTCCTGTGTGGGGAGGTCGGCCACGCGCAGGAAGGGTGGCAGGGGGAGGGGAAGGCTTTCCAGAAGCAGCCCTGCTTCTCAAAGGCGCGGCCCTTATCTGTGGATGCAGGGCCGTCACCTCCTAAGAGGCAGCCCCCTTCTAAGAAGCCTTCCCCCTCTCCCCCTGCAGTGGAGGCTAATCCACAAGAAACCTGCCGCAAGAAACCCAACCCTGCGACCCCAGGACGTCCATTGACTTCTGGTGCGGGATCGGGAGCGGCCAGAGGGGGGTGTCCAAGAGGGGGGGGGCCCCCGCCATGATATCCACCCCCCCTAGTCATCACCCCCCTCTTTTCCGTCCCCGACCATCGCAAGACCATCGAGACCCAGGGAACCCAGGGCATCCTGGAGGCAAGCAGGGTGTTTCTTGGCCTGGGCCCCCACTGTGCCCCCCTTGTGCGCGCCGCCGGGGAGGGGGGGGCCCCCCCCCTCGATCTTGAAGGGGCCCTGGGACACACAAATTGACAGGATTCCCTACATTTTCCTGTATTTTCTGGGCTTTTGTCTCCCCCCCCACTTCCCATCTTCCCCCATCTTCTCCTGGGGATCGTCGATTAATTGTGCCTGTGCGTTTTTTCTCCATCCTGAGATCTGCGAAAACACCCCGGATCGGAACGTGTGCCTCTGGCGAGGCGCACGGCGGCTCTCGCCCGTCCCCGCGGGAAAGCGGCATCTCGAGCCTCTCCCCCGAAGCTGGCCCCCAGGAGCCCCCGAGAGGCCCCTCGGGGCGCCCCCGGGGAAGCCCCGGGAGATGCCCGAGAGGCCCCCAAGAGGCCCCCGAGAGGCCCCAAGAAGCCTCCCAGAAGCCCCCCAAGATGCCCCGGAAAGTCCTCCATGCGGCCCCCGACGCGCCTCCCAAGAGACCCTCCCAAACAGCTTCCAAGCCACAGTCCACGCACGGTGACGAGCTGAACCGAAAGTCACCGGAAAACTTCCAAAAGTCGCAAGCTCTCACTCCTTCTGGGGGTCGGCGGAATGGCGCAAGCCACTAGAATGATACGACGAAGCCGACGACGGTAACCGACGGCTCCGACGACGAGGAACGCGGGCTGGCCCGCCAAGCCGCTCCTCGGGGGGCAGGCTCCTCAGGTAGCCAATGTTGCGCCACGACATGTTCTCCCAGGTGGTCATGTTCACCAGCGCAAGGTACGTGTGGAAGGACAACAGGCACAGCACCGGGGACAGAGTGGGGGGAGGAGGGAGGAGGCAAGAAGAAGCAGAAGGGACATGAGGCAACGTGGAGGAGGAGGAGGAGGAGGAGGAGGAGGAGGAGGACGAGGAGGAGGTGGCACGGTGGAGAAGGAGGCAAATAGAGCCGGAGAATGAGGAGGAGGCAGGCGCACGAGGAGAAGACGGCGGGTTGAGAGGGCAGGAGGAGGCGGGGGACAAGAAGGGCGGGAAGGCGGGCAAGATGATGATGCTGATGAGGAGAAAGACAGGACATTGAGCATGCAAAAAGAGCGGGGGGGGCAAGAAGAGGCAACAACGCCAAACATGTTGCCGTGAACGTCAGGAGCGGCACTGTCCGACAATAGCAGTAAGCCAGCTAGGGCCGCCTAGGTCCCACAAGGAACCACCCCTTACACCCTTAAACCTCACCTTTCTCGTCGTTCTCTCCTCCTCCTCCTCCTCCTTCGCCGCCCTCCTCCTCCACATCCCTTCTCCCTCAACTCCTCCCCCAAACAACCATACGCTCAAAACGGAGGAGGAGCCTCCTCCTCCTCCTCCGCCCGCTCCCCGTCCTCCTGTGCCCCTACAGAAGAGGTGCAACTACCAGCCCTGCGAGCACGCCCTGAGGCACCCCGCCAGATCTTCCAACAAACCAGCTGAAACCCGTCCCCCACCCCTTCTGCTCTCATCTCCCCTTCTTTCCTCTCCTCTCCTCTCTTTTTCTCCCTTCTCTCATTCTCTCTCTCTCTCTTTCCCGTTCTCTCTCTCTCTCTCTCTCGCTTCTCCCTCATCCGTCATCTCTTCCCCTCCCATCCCCACTTCCCATCCCCCTTCCCCTCCTCCACTGGAAGCTGCACACCGTGCTGCTCTTCATTCTCCTCCTCCTCCTCCTCCTCCGACGACGACGACGACGACGAACGACGACGACGAGGAACGACGGGCGCTATGAACGTACGACCAACAGCATGACCACGAGACCCCCAGGGCCTTCTGGAACCCATCGGGCTCCCCCGGGAGCCTCCTCCTCCCCCCCTCCCCCCATCCCTCCCCCCTGTTTTTCCTCATCCCAGTCCCTCAAATAGAAATTATACAAACGCAATAAACATTAACTTTTGGCGCTCCGCGTGGATGTCTTGGATCTGCGCTGGAGCCCGAGCGCGCCAGGGGCGGCGCCGGAGGCACCGCGGGGGGGGGGCCAGGCGCGGATCCAAGAACTCCGCGCGGAGCGCAAACAGTTTATGTTTATGGCGTCTTTTCTTCTTCGATCAAATCCGATCCCCAGACTACTCCAGGGTTATGTTGTTCCTATACCACTTAAGTACCGCACCCCAGAAATAATTTCGAGCACGCAGAAAAGTATCGAAACAGTGTCGAACGAGTGCCGCCTCCCAGGGCCCGCCGCGTGACAACCCTCCAGTTTCGGCACTTTCTTGGTGTTCGAAATTCTTGCTGGTGATCGAGGCTAAAGTAGGTTGGAACATCATGACTCCAGGGGCGCGTCCTGACAGAACTTCAAGGCGGACCCGGCCGCAGTGGCGAGAGGCCCTCGCGGAGGCCCAACAAGCCCAAAGAGGGCGACGAAAGCACGACATCTCGACCCTGGCAGCTCGAGCCTCGATGCTCATGACGACGAGCGACGAGGGGCGCCATCAACGTCAAGATAACTGTGACCAGCATCCAGAAAAATCGCAGACATCGGGCGTCTCGAAATAAACCGAGACGGAAATTTGTACTCGCTTTCGGGCTCCAGGGGCCCTCGCTGGACCCCAGGACCGTTAAAAAACGACTCGGGATGAAAAACCGGTCCTGGGGAACGGGTCAACCCCAGAGATCCAACGTATTGACAAAAATGGGTACAGAAATTTTTCAAAAAAAAATGGCCTCCAGGGGCCCTCGCAGGGCCCCGGAACCGTCCAAAAACGACTCAGGACTCAGGGTCGAGACTTCCGGGGCTCTCAGATTGAAGAGATCACAACGTCGGATCTCTGGGGCATGGTGGTGACAACGCCTGGCGGTGAGGCTCGGGCGATTCGGTGTCTCCACTCCGTGTTGGGGGCTCGCGTGTTTTTTTCGAAGCCGTCTCGAACGCTGGTGGGGTCCAGGAGTCACAAAAAGCCCGGCGGTGACCCCGTGTCCCCGAACCCAGCGGTCTCCCCTTCCTCCTCCTCCTCCTCCTCCTCCTCCTCCTCCTCCTCCTCGATTGCCCCTCTTCCTCCTCCTCCTCCTCCTCCTTTTCCTCCTCCTCTTCCTCCTCCTCCTCGACTTTTTGGGGGTTGCAGGTCGCCACGTAAGCATCTCACCACCTGGCTTGGGGGCTGTCCCAAGGCGAGCTCCCGCGCCCTGCGCACGCCGGGGAGAAGAGAGCACGACGGCGAGCTCAGGGTAACTTTCGGTCCCAGGGAGGGGGGCCTGTTATTTTCTGTCTATGTTTGAATACTCCTCCTGTGGAGGGACAGGCCCGACCTGAGGAGACCCTCCCGAGCAGCATGTCCCTGGGCCTGCGGGCGGCTCCGCCCGCGAGCGGCCCGCGCGGCCCTGGAAAGGCAGGCCAGCCGGTGGCCGTCGGTCGG